AGATCGTTAATTAATGTATAACAACAAACCCCCCCCCCCACCCCCCTCCCCAGAAGCCAATGAGCCAGATTATAAATTTTCATTAAACGTCCTACACCTTTCGACTGACGTGACAAAATATATAAATTCCAACGGGAGTTACGGATTGAAAAATTTCGAACTAATCAGTGTTAAAGGAATAGAAATTGAATAACTCGCGCGTAAATCACTCACTGTAAACGATTGATTAATTAATTGCCTCGATAACGTCATTTCCGTGGATAAGGCTTCTAGGGATTAATAAACAGCGTACATATTTAGACAGGAGGAACGTTCTCGGATACACATAAATATAATACTGAATAAACAAAGACAAAAAAAAAAAAGAAGAAAAGAACCGAGAAAAAACGATGTTTGTAAAATCACACCCATACTTACGAACCCTACATCACCCTGCTACGATTCCGACTCATATTCCAGTTTCATCAAAATCTGATCGTTACGCGCGCATGGTTTTGAGAACGACTCGAAGCTAACCTTACTTTTACACTCGCGAGCCTCTGTATTCATGCGACAGAATTAGATCCACGGAGCCTAAAAGCCTAGCTGGAAAAATACAAATTTTGAAAAACTTGTCAGCTATACTCGAGACTTTTTTTTCACGGTGGGAACACGGTCGCGAATCTCAGCGAAGCACTATTATCTTCCTGGCACTTCTCGAACGATGTAGCACGATGTAGAAGCATAGATATTAAGGATAGAGCAGGGTAGACATAGACCTGCCTGTAAGTGGAAACGTTCCACCGTTAGAAAGAGAAGGAAAATCTCCGTCTACCAAAGCATGCGTCGTAAGAGTCGGACTGTCATTGGCTGTTGATTTAGTACTGTATATTACGAATTGAAATAGACGAAAGCTGAGGGAATTGAATTTAATAAAGAATCGGTGAGGAAATATTCAGAAGGAACCATGCACTCGTTTCGCATGCGCTGGTGGACGAAGACAGATAGAGCAACGCGGTCTTCTTTCTCTTTTTATCTGTGGTACGGTTGAAAGACTATCTTCCCTAGTAGGGATGGGCAAAACCCTAGGTTTCGAATAAATCTCAAGTTTGCCAATATGTTTGTCTCGTTTCCTTTTTTGGAAAATATTTGAAAGAGGAAACAAGACAAACACACAGCCTACGGTTTTGCCCATCACTGTTCTCTACCTGAGTGTCCCAGAAATGTTGTAACACCTTGAAAGAGGTGGTTCGGGAGGTGATTTGAAACAACTTTTTCCTTAGCGTAAATATTGTCAGAGGTTTCGTTGAGGAGATATTAACGGAAAACACTGACCAATCAGAGCGCGAGGATGCCGATGGAGCTCTCGCGGTAGCGTATGAGCGCGGCCCCCTAGCGCGTAGCCTACGCTCAACCGGCATCCTCGCGCTCTGATTGGTCCAGGTTTTCGCTTAATATCTGCTTAACGAAGTCTCGGACAACATTTTCGCTAAGGAAAAAGTTGTTTCAAATCACCCCCTAAACCACCCCTATCAAGGACTTCCAACATTTTTGGTACACCCTGTATAGTATCTCTATAGGACGTGAGACTCTAAAACGATGAACATGTGCGCGCCATCTGAACACGATTAATTAACTAATTTGTCTATCGCGTACCTCAATTCCACTTTCCTTCGATCCTTTTGTTTCAGAAACAATCTAGGTGCACAACGCATTATTTAGCAACGAATACTATCGCTATTCGACGTTAACGTTCTACGATCACATTTTCTCCTTCAAATTTACTTTTATTACGCGCAGAAAAAGTAACCTTTACACTCAGGATGCTTCGAGAATCTCCGTTGCCACGCGACGAATTCAAATTGCTCGAAGCTTCGCTCGTGGAAGGTGTAAAAAAAAAAAAAATTACGAAAGATAATCATCGAACACGACATTCGATACCGTTATATCTATCGCAGCGACAAAATTAACAAGCGTGCAAATATTCCGAGCCCATGTGGCACTACATCAACAAGGTGTCAAGTCGACCGCGATACGTGTTTCCTTCGCAACCGTGTTTACTCGCGGGAATCGTTTCATTAGAACGCATCAATAATTTCGCGGGGGAGTGTACTCGCGACGAAAGACCTCGTCTGCCCCGTTTCTGGATTGTTACAAAAAAAAAAAGTCAGAATTATCGATCTTTTCGCCCGACAACATAACCTATCGTAGGTGAAAGAGAAACCCGTCCAGAAAAAATGTAGCACGAGTGTGAATGTATTGTCACGAATCGACGAATATTGGGGATATTCGATTCCGAGACGAATCGATTTATTCAAACCCAAGAATCGACTCCAGAGGTTGCCAGCCTCTCGTAAAGTACGAAATTATTTCATTTCTGGTTAATCTTTTTTTTTCTTTGTAACGATTCAAATACAAATACGCAGATTCAACCCGAAAATTTCGAAGTATACGCGAAGCGTAATTCGTAACTTACGAAACAGTTCCATAGGAATTGACCAGCGAATCGATTCTAGTCGTTCGGATACAAAATCGAACATTCTCGCGAAATACGTGAAATTATCGTAAATCATGCTCGACATGCATATTCTTACGCTTTAAATACGATTATCGTATTTACGTAAAACGCTTGCGCGTGTACGTGTACACGTACGCGATATATTCATCCTCCTATTCGGTGTGTGTGTGCGTGTGTGTGTGTGTGTGTGTGTGTGTCGTGCGTATACGGCGTGTATTTTTTCCTCGTCGCAATGCAATGCAAGTATAATAAGTACTGTACGCGTAATAGATTAATGTATCGGATATTGAAAAAAAAAAAGGAAAGGAACATCGACGCTGTTGCATGTGTATAGTAAATGTACGCGTTAACAAACGTGACCAGATTTCACCATAGTTGTGTGCGATATGCTCAGATATGGCATATCCGCCTCATACTAATCGTTCTCCCGGATAAGTTTTAATAATCGTTTTTATCGTCATTCTTCTTGCCTTATATATATATATATATCAATAAATATTTTTTTCTCTTTGCTCTCTGTTCTTCGCAACAATCTTATCTAACTTCGCAGTAATTTTAGTAAGCGGAAACATCCGGATGTTCGTAGAACGAGTTCGATAGAAAGAAACGAAAAGGAAGGAAGAAACTTTTCGGATTACCCCGTTCAAGAAAAGGGAGGTACGTTTTCAGTTCGTGCTGCCCCAACACTGGAATTTTATATATCTGGTCACATTGCCCTTATCTTAACGCATTGTGGACCGTCTACGTTAATTGACGAGTTCCTTTTTTTTTTTACCCCCCTAAACGACACTGAAATTCCATTGTTAAAGTACAAGATAAATGTCAACAGCGACAGCGTCCCCTCCTCCCCCCCCCCACCCCTCCCCCCATCCCCAGAGTAAGATATCGAAGCAGTGGCATAACTGCGGGGCCCGAAAAACTCGTAAACGAAAAAATAAATATAATATCGGTTAATTTTCGATTACTCTATTTTCTTTTCAACTATACACACCTCTTTCGTTTTATACCCGATCTCGTATAATTCGTTAAATGTTGTTTCACGAACGTCGTCGGCGATTTTTCTTCATTTTTTTCGTAACAGTAATCGCGAGAGGGATGAACTTTCTCCCTGAAACAGCATTTCCCAAACAATGGGCCCTAGGAACGCTAAAAATCACGACTACCAATTAGAGAAATAAAACGTAAGTAACTTTTGCATAGTAATACAGGCACCGGCATCTCTGCGTTAATGTTACTTTCAACGTTATTTTTGTTATTCGCCTACCAGCACAGGCTAATAATCGAATAGATCGCGGAACACTTCGTTTCGGCAGGCTTCGTATAAACATTATATATCGCACCGGCGTCTAAGAAAATAGTTTTATCTTCGCTTCTGCGAATGGCAATTTTTTATCGTTTTTGTATTTACGCGTGTAACTTTCCTTACTTAGAGTACGGGCACGATTATCGGCTACGTGATATTATAAATTGTACAAGTGTGTTTTTACTTTGAATTCGAAGTAAAATGCATTCGAGTATTAGTCGAGAAGCAAGCCTCTGGTTGTACGAATTACTTATACCTGTATGCGATATAAAGTCACGAGTATACCCTCTGTATACGAGTATGTCTAAATGAAATAATTGGCTTGGTGTTTCCGAATCAATGTTTGGTGTTCAAAAACAAAAAGCGTTCAATATTTATATGGTGTATAGGGCACCCTGTACTGACAATGAGTAAAAAAGCTTTAGTAAACATAGGTCCAAAGGTGTACCGTTTCTGAGGGATAAACATTTTTGTTCGCTAGTATCATGATTGACTTACTTGCTTCCATACATTGCGTTCTGAATGTTCCCATTCGAATGCCGACAATTTCGGCAATTTCATTTTTTTTTAATTTCGTGTACGGAAAGAAAATCTTCTGTAAATATCGAAAAACCCAGTAGTAAGTCAATCGTGATTATACCGCGGATCTTTATGCGATAGAAAATCTTCGCGAACGTACCTACAAATATTGACCTTAAATAAGAATCTATTTTATTCTGCAAATTTGCAGAACAGTTTTTATTACAACATGAACTTTACTTTCAATCTTTTTCATGTTCTTGCATCTTGTTTGCACTTTGTAGGTTCTTGCAAATTCAAATTTACTGTAAGCGCATAAAGATTCTAATCATGATACCAGCAAACAAAAATGTTTATATCACAGAAACGGTACACCTTTGGACGTATGTTTACTAAAGCTTTTTTACTCGGTACAGTCTGCCCTATACACCATGTAAATACTGAATGATTTTTTTTTTTAACACCCTGTATACAACAAAGTATCTATTTGGAGACAGTAAGTGCGTCGTTTAATTTAGACGAATTTCCTCGATAGAGGGTACGAGTGCTAATGGGATATATCGGGTTGTCTGGAAAGTTCATGCCGATTTTTAGCAGGCGGTACAGGTCTGAATATATCGGAATGGTTGAAAACAAATAACACGTGGACATAAAAGGTGGAAAAATTGTGGAACAAAATGGTACATGTATAATTCAATAAATATATATCAGAATTCAAACGTGCCTTTGAATTTGTTTTAAAAATTAACGCGAACTTTCCGAACAACCTAGAAAGTAGCTACTACAACAAAACGAAAGTAACACCGTAACCGGCAGAAGTATTTTTTTGTTTTAAGTGTAATCGTGACATAGCGTAAATATTAGAAAATAGCGTGACTTGTGTATCGAAATTCAAACGTGTCTGAATGTTTCTTAAAAATTGGCACGAACTTTCTGGACAACTCAATATACAAGGAATTATGGCCATGAATAGTTAATACTAACTATGAGAGCGATAACGAAGTTAATTAGTAGGATAATAGTTTCCATATCGATAACTAAACAGTATTAAAGAAGGTAAGTGTCCCGTGGCTGAGCAAGTTTGGGTAACGCTGCCGTAAAAGAGCCCCCGGACCATAAATTTTCGCATAATCGCTGGTTACGCCACCGACTCGAAGATGTCGACGATAAGCCTCCCGGTCGAATTGCCACGTTTCCCTTAAACGTTTATTCGCAAGCAACGCGTTGTCGGTAAGTATGGTCCACAATGTGTTAATTAAACCTAAGAAAGTGAAAAGCGAGACGGAAAAGGAGAACGTATGTCCGCGTCCCTTAGTATTTGACTTTCGCCTTAACCTCTTCCGCGACGCCGCCCCACCTGAGCTTATAAACGCGCGATCGCCACTGTATCAGAGGATCTAGAACCGCCTGGAGAAAAAGATAGGGCCTGGTGATCTCGCTGAGCAACCATCCGCAAACGAACTCTAATTTGTTGAACGGTAACGGGCCGTTCTGGACAACGCACAACAGCGTCCAGTCGAACATGAACCACAACAGTATGTGTACCAAATAGAAAACAAGGGAGTCCCACTCGAATAGTACGCTGGCCGCCCAGGAAGCACAGGCACCTAACACTAAGCACTCGCTCAACGGCTCCAGCACGATCATGGTGGGCAGCATCGCCACCCTGAGCTTCGCCCACCTTCGTAACCTTGCCTGGAAGGAATGCAGCTCGCAGTGACCGCTGTTCTGCAACGCCGGCTGCGAGGAGACCGTGATGCGCCAACCGCGGTCGGTCAACGACTTCGCGTAGAAAAAGTCTTCGGCCAGGTACACGCCGAACGTTTTCAATCCGCCTACTTCGTCGAGGGGCGCCTTCCTCAGAAGCGCCGACATCCCTGTGTGACAGTTTATTCGCAGCAAATCGGCCGCGAGATACATCCTCGACTGGACCGTGCCGAAGAATACTTTCTCGTAAACGGCGGCGAAACCCTCGCGATCCGAAGTGAACGGCATCTGATGCACCAACGCCACATTGTCTGTCATGTGATTAACCATGTCCAATAGCGTGTCCTCCTTCATCTTGATACCACTGTCACTGATCAACACAAACTCGTGTTTCGCCGCTTCGTACGCCGGCTGCATATTGTTGATTTTCGGATTCACGCCCACGTTACGACCACCAACGAACAGCCTCGCGTCCACTTCCGGATAACGTCCCATCAGTTGTTGCACCAATATCACAACGGGATCCAGGTCGTCCTCCACGCAGAAAAGCAGCTCGTAACGAGGATACTCCATGGTGAAGAACGTCTCCAAGTTGCTGAACAGATTCGGATCGACGCCCATCAGCGGTTTGATGATCGAGACGCCGGGCAACGGGGTCTCGTAGCTCGGCACTTGGCTGATTTTACGGTGAAGCTTCCATCGACCAGCAATCAGTGCCAGCACGTGAATGATCCACATCACCGACCAGAATACCATGAAAAATATCGCGAACCCGTACAGGGTATATATCATGGAGTTCATCTTCGAGCGAGGATCCTTTTATATCTCGGAGGCCTAACCTCCGGGGGTGGTGGGGGACTCCTGCTCGACGATTATTGTTCGATCTTTTTTACGTGCCTATCGATCCGAGGGGCGATCACGAGGCCCGCCGTCCGTCCGCGCGGAGAAAACGATATCCGCGGCATCATCGACGTTCCCGTCGTGGCCGCGATCACGAAACGCGCCGTTGCATCGATGAGACGCGTAGGGCCATCGGTGTAACGTTCTCGACGATTTCCACGGTGCCGGACCGTTTTCCCGTCGATCACAACGACGACGACGACGACGACGAAAACGAACACGGGGCCACTGCTTCCAACACATTCACGCGCTAGCTTCCCTCGCGGTCGGGAGGGTGGCCCACGACCTTAAAGTGGTTCGAAACGCCGGTAACGCTGCCGACGGACAGTGTCTCTCTATATCTCTCTCCCACCTTTCGCTTTCCTCCGCGAGGAACAAGGATCGTCTATATTCACCGATCACTGACATATACAACACCGAAGCACCCTCTTTTGTCGCGAACGATGCTCCCCAATTTTCACCGATGCATTGAACTTCGCCCCTCTCGACGTCGAACCTCGTATACCTCGTTGCTTCCCTCGACCAGGCCTCACCCCGTGCGATGCCTTCTCTCTCTCAGAGATTCCTCCCAATGTCTCCCAATGTCTCCCAATGTTCCCTGATCGTAGCTTCTCGATTCCTCTCGTCTCGTTACGTTTCCAGGAAATACGTTCGTTCCTGCGCGATGCAACACGGTTATGTCAAGCTACGGCGACGACTGCTTCCTGCTGCTTCCTTTCCCAACGACGATGCGCCTACGCGGACTTTTCTTCTTCTGTTTCGGCCGCAGCTACGGCACTGGCGTTGCGTTCCAATGCATGTCATATTCGAAGGTCGAACTTTCGTCGAATGAACCGAACGGATGAGCGACGACAACAGAAATACTCGATCCGAAATGCCGAACAAACAGCGGATAAACGAGCGAACATACTTCGCACACACGCCAACGACGCACCGCGTCGACGGGATAACTGGCTTGCATGTGACAGCCGGCAGCTCGCACATTCAATTCGCGACTACGTTCAGGTAGAACGCGTCATCGGCTGCTACGGCCAACTGACGTTTGGCGCGCGTAATGCGCTACTTTTATGAAAAAGGGATAGCACGGTGCCGTTGCACTTCGCACGAGTTCAATACTCTAATCGGCGAAAGGCGTGTCGTCGAATAGCGCGGTTTTTCAATTATCTGAGATGCTATCGTGACCTCGATGATTGCGTACGCTTCGTCATATGGACTCGCATGCCTCGATCGAAGCTAAAACTGTAATTAAATACTGTAATATAGAAGGTTTGTCTTGGATACGTGCTTCGATTGCTAATAAAGTAGAGAATTTTCGAAGGTCTTGGCAAGCAGTTTAATGTTTCTCAGGTTCGAAACCATCTTTGGAACCAGAGCAACCAGAGCCGGTGTCAGAGTTACTAGCGCCGCGATGTACATAACTCCCGATTTAAGCAGTGACGGATCTATATTACTCGAAACCTAGAACTAATTACTTCGAGGTAACGGATCCTCGAGGGCAAATGTATTTATCCCATTGTTCTCCGTAAGAACCCGTTAGGGGTTGTAGTTACGTTTATAACTCGAGCTATACAGGGTGTCTCAAAAATAATGTAAAAAAAAAGTATTCATCCAGCAAAATGGCTGCAACAGAGAAATATTAGTGGGCCCCAACAGGCTATTAGCATCCCTAATAATGAAGAGAGATAAGCAAATGCAAATTAACGTAAAGCAAGAATTAAATGAATGTAAAGTACGAATAAACGTAAGACTGTTATACCCTTATACATAAAACTCATTCTACGTACGAAATTAGGACGTTAATTAAAAAATTAGGAACTCCGTTTCGGTTGGTCGGAACAACCGACTAGGTTGTTGACAGTTCACCTAGTAATTTTTAAAAATAGCAAGGTCTATGCGACGCCCATTTTCGCTCGATCTAAGCACTCTATTGACGCCATTTTGAATGCGCATGAGCTAAACGATGACGGATCTAACAATATCATAATATGAACCAGCTTTAAGTATTTAAAGAAATTAAATTACATCTCGAAACATTTTATTCACGATATCCTTATATTTGTAACAAATCAGACCGATGTTAACGAAAAGTAATCACTGCATCTAGATGCGGGAGCGAAGGTTAACTAGACTAGATAGTAGAAAGCTAATTAATTCATATTTGGCATCGTATGATAATTTATAATGTACTAGCATGCATGTGCTAAGCGTCCAGACGCTTAGAACAGAATAAAATCAACAAGTAAAAATTAATGGTTTAATCGCCCTTTTTATTTCCCGTTACAAGTTCGGTCAATATTTTGAGAACTGATATTTTTCTTGTAAATATAATTATCATCGTTAACGAGAGAACACTTTAGTTTCGAATGAGACCAAAATGCGATAAGCATTCTTTGTGTTTGCATTGTTCAAATATTGCGCTACCAGATTAACGAGGCCAAGGGCTCTACAACCTCGACTTGCGATAACACTTTTCAAATAGATTAGCCGGAAATTGGACACTCGGGTCACAAATGTCATAGTCTAACAGCTGGCTACGAAAATCAGGAATAATAAGGTGCAGCGAAAATTTGTATCTAAAAACACTCCTTACTAAATAACAAAGACAATAGCGCTGCAGCCACAAGTTACATTATCATTCTGTCTATCAGCTGTTTACAGTTGTAATTTAAAATGATGATGTATTATTGGATTAGGTCTTATATAAATATGTACATGCAAACACAGGTAGTCTTCCAAAGTTTGTAGTATATACTTAAAAAAGGACTCCCTTGAGTTAATACAGCGGTGCGTGCTATGGACGCTTGCATACCAGGGGATTGTTATCGCATCGAGTCAACAAAGTGGGTTTACATTTGCGTAAATTATATTATTGCCACGTATGTACATCGTACGAGCGGGCAGATCAAGTTTACCGAGAACTGATAGGTATTAGATACTAGATATAGATGGTTAAAATGGTTAGTTTGTTGCTTTTGGAAAACGTGGTTTAAAATCAACTTTGTCGATGAAAATACAAAAGAGACAACATAAATGTCAATGAAATTAAAATTTTGATCGACCAATTACCGTTCTTTATAAAACGTATACAAATGTAATGAAACATGTTTTTAAATCGGTCACAAAAATAACAATAAATATAAAATATATTTATGTACATTGAAGGTCTACGTCCTGAACTTTTTAAACAACGGATGCTTGTTCGCTGTAGATGAACCGGGAGCTTTCTTGTATTCGTAGTAAACTGCATCGTCTGCGCCAGACATCGACGTCATGTTACCAGCTTTTCGAATAATCTGGAATAATAATTTTAGTAGCAACTACTTTTAGTAATAATGTCCCGTTAATGTAATATAAATCTTACCGGTCTTGGTCCTTCTCCAGGTATCCTTTCTTCGTCCGCGTCCATATCACTAGCAGACAAAACTTGTTGCAACAAATGACCCTGTTCCTCTCGAGATGCATACATCAAGTCGGGCTCCTATTTTAAAAGTTAAAGACATAGATTGTGAAACATTCTTATGGGATGTTTGTCGAATTGCAAACTTGGAATACATACTTCGTCCATTCCAGCAAGCTTTGTAATAACTTTATACGCGTATCCTTGATTTACAAGGAACCGTTGACGTTTCCTTGAATAATTCATTTCCATTGTGTCTTGCGATACTAGTGTATAGAAAAACGCATTGTACTCCTCCGCGATCGCTCCTGTAGGTAAACATCTTAACGTTGCAGTATTTGGAGTGTAAAATATATCCCACTTAATATGAAATGATTTGTTTACCTTTTTTGGCTCTTAAAATTCTTCCTAATCGTTGTGCTTCCTGTCGTCGCGAACCACCATGAGACGAAATTTGGATCAAGACATTGGCTTCTGGTAAATCGAAAGACGTATCTGCCACTTTACTCACAAATATCGTGTTCACTTTAGTATTGAATTTGAAGTTTTGCAGAATTTGTATTCGTTCGTTCTAAAATTAACATTATCGCGGTACGATATATTTTGTAATCGTATTTATTTACATTTTAGTAGAACACTTATACTTACTTGACTAGTTGGGCCGTAGATATACGGTTTATTCATTTTAATCGCGTAATGTTTCAAAGCGAAAACATTATCGGAGAAAACGATGGTTTTATCCCCGCGTCTTTCGTGGTATCGTATTAAATATTGACAGCAACGAAATTTATTAGGATTCATCACATAAAGTAACTAAAAGTGAACAGTTCTTTTAAGGCTGTTCAATATTCGATTACGTTAAATTAATGTGGAATTAGTACTTGCCAACTTTTTACTCATTTTACAACCAAGGTACTCTCTGTAAAACTCTGGCGTCATAGGACACCAAACTTCAGCGCACTGTACTCTAGCGATGAAACCACGTTTCTGTAATTCTAACCAGTTAGCCTCGTACAATTTAGGTCCGATCAGAAAGTTGAGGTCAGCGATTTTATCGTCTTCTCGCAACAACGTCGCGGTTAAACCCAATTTACAGTGACTCTGAACTATCGTCAAAACTCTCCTGAACATTTTTGCAGGTATCGTGTGTACCTCTAAAAATGTAATATATGGTGATCGATTCGATAAAACGACAGTCGGATCTATGGCAGGAATAGGTTACCATCCAAGACCATGATTCCCCATTCTTGTTCCTGAAGCCATCGCATGGTTTGTTCAGCTTCCCATGAACGTTTCTGTGTGTGGGTAATCATGGAATACGTAGTGATTAATATTCCGCAGCCCATAGGTTTATCTTTGGCTTCGCTTGTAAAACGACATATCATCGAATCGTCAGCGGTTGACCACATCTTAAATTGTTGTTTCCATTGCTCCACAGATACTCCAGAATTACACAATACTAATGCACGCTTTCGTACTGTACAACAAGCTGTTACTCCAACCAAACTTTTACCAGCACCTGTAAGAATGGGAATTAAAATGTATTCGGTTCAGTGCATCGTTGGCGATATACTGATTACTTACCGCAAGGTAAAACTATAACGCCAGATCTAGCACGTCCATTTCCAAACATTTTTCTCAAACTCTTTTCCTGATAAGGTCTCAATACAGCTGATGGTTTCAAGTCGATACTAATAGTACGATACATTTATTTTTCATAAATTCTGTCTTATTTAACATTGAGCATGACTGCAATAAATGTACTTACTTTATGTCTGGATTTACAGTGTCGTTACGGAAATCATATTCTGCTAATAAGGGATGCTCCAGTTCTATACATCTCTTTTGTATAACTTCAATTTTTTCCTATAACAATATTTTGTTATATATATTCGAAATTGATTGTATGGGTACTTGACAAAACAAAATAAAAATTGTATACCTGATTCACTTCGAAACTAACGGTTTTTAATTCTTGTTCTTCCTCCTCATCTTCGTCTTCTTTATCCATTTTATCGTAGAAGGTAGTTATATCTTCGGGAACAGCCGCTGCTTCTGCTGGTACTTGGTCGTTAGTTGTTTCAGTCGGTTTGGTGGTCGTAGTTGGAATATTAGTCACTGCTTTTGCTCCAAACTGAGAGGGAAACAAATAAATGATATCGGTTGTTTATGTTGTCGAATTGTTGGATACAAAAATATTATTAATAATATCACCTGTGGAAGTTTTGTTTTGCTTTGAACATTTGTAATTATTTCTTCTTTCTCATCTTCTATATTTTTTCTCAGTCTACACTCTTGAATTACTGGATCTTTTAATAACTTCTGCAATACTTCAGGATATGGAGATTCAACGAAATACTTATTGTGTTTTAACACCAGTTTTACCTATAATCAAAACAAAGCATGTATATATTTAATACAAAGTGTTATAAAATATGTGCTTTGTAATTAAAATACCTACCTTGCCATATGACAATGTACACAATTTTATAAACTCTATAATTCCATCAGGTATGCTGGTCTTACTAAGTCTTTTCAAATATTCTACAATGTCATGAGTCTGAAGACCAACACTCACAGCAGCATACAAAGAATAAGCAGTCAGTTTATACTGTGAAGCAAAAGTCAGATTATTAACACTCTTTATAAATTTTATCAAAATCTAATATTTTTTATAAATAATCATACCTCGTGAATATGTTCTGGACGACACACAGGTTCAGAGATAGCGATCAGAAAGTCATGAGCGTGTTTATAAACAGGTGAGAAAGATTCCAGAAAAATATGTCCATTCGGTGCCTAAACAAAAGATTTTTATTTAAATAATAATCAAATATTGGTATATCAAACACAAAAATAAAAGATGTAATTGAGAATTAACATCTTACCACCCAAAGTGGTCTAGAAGAACAATCTGGCTTTAGAATCATTTGCGAACGATAATCTTTTGCACCAAATTCATCTTCCAGTGCTGTTTCATCTTGCTTTTCAACGTCATTCTTGGCTGCATCTGGTATGCCTTCTGCTTCATTATCATCCAAATAGTCATCGTCGTTATACTCTTCAGGGTCTTCTTTTCGCTTTTTCCATTTGCCTCTGTCTACAAAAGTAAGCAATAGCTGCTCGTATTTTATCCTTACGGATGGTTGTACAACATAACCTTTCGGTGAAATTTGTATTCATAGAAAATGTTGTAGTTGTTACAAAAAAAATTTTGCTAAAAATAAGAATATTTTCCGAAAAAATGATTAGTTTCATACCGTTGTCTTTTTTGAAACGTTTAGGAGGACCCATTATACATCGATAACTTATTTATTAGGTTATACAGAATGATTCTCTATCAGCAGTGAAGCCTACTAAACCTCTTCAATATTATCAAAACAAATTTGTCAATTTATATTAACTGTGTTTACATTGTCAACTGAATTAGCATTAACTATCATTCATATACGATCTCTTTGATTGACATGCTCGCCAATTGATGCCTGATTGATACACGCAATCAGATCATTTGATTTGAATTGAGCGTATTCAGAAAAGTCATCGCTCACTGAGCCGCTCAGCTAGCGGGTTTTTGTACTAGTGGTGCCATCGGTGGGAAAGTGCCCAAGCTTGTAGTGAATATAGTTTCTACTGAGTCTGTAAGACGGTGCCACCGATTATTCTCTATTTTGCATAATTAACACGATTCTTTGCTCTATAACACTACAATATATTAATTTACATGTCCAATTCATCATTTCCATGAATAGTTATTTAATGCAGCAATAATTATCGTTACTTTAGTTCGTGGTGCCATCTTATAGAAACAGCGGGAATTATTTTCTTTACAAACTTGGGCGTTTTCTCACCGATGGCGCAACTGGTAATAAAACACGCGCGAAATTTTAATTGAATTTTAATTGAAAGAGTCGTTTTATTGATACAAAATATACTCGAAATTAAGTTCGGCTTTATTGAGTCGTAATAAATCTCTCATATTTTTCAACTATACATCAGGAAGAAATATTACCACTCACAGTGAGAGCCTTTTCGTTGACTAGGCTCAAAGAAGAAAGGCAAACTAACGCAGCACCTTGTTCTGCCCACTTTTTATTCTTCTCCCTAAAAATATTCCAGAAACAAAGCATAAATTTGAATTAAAATATTATGTATAATTTGATGTATACAATACTACACATATATATTGCTACTTCTTTACCAAAAAGATGACCCAAATTTCCTTCCATCGACGGTAACGATGGAACGAAAGAGTCTCCCTTTTTTTTGCGTGTCATAGTGCGGTATTTTTTTTCTTTGGGTTTGCGTCCATTTATGTAATATAGTTTTTGGTAATTCAAGGTCTGTCACATAATTATTTCTCAAGAATGCACAATGCATTAAAACAACATCTTCTTCGTCTGACATCTTCCTTTTACTAGATGGCTGTTCTCCATCTGGTTGATCCTCCTCTCTCATAGGAGAAACTTGAGATCTACCCAACAAACCTTTTTCTTCGAATTCCTTTCTCTTTAAACGACAATAATCACTTAATTCCCATACATCGCTAAAACAATGTAAATGTTACAATACCGAACAAACAATTGTATTGCTCTAAAGATACAATTCTTACCATATTTGTTCCAGAGTTTGAGAATTATGGAACTTTTTGCCTAGAACTGATTCCTGTTGCTCGCGAAGGATATTTTGTATACAGTACTTGGTATTAGAAGGTGGATTGTCGCAATCTACGGCATACTTCATGTATGCTTTTATTATATCTTCCATGGGAGATAAACCTTCTTTAGAAAATATTGAACAGTTCCACTGAGCTGCACGAGCGAGCATTACACTGCTACATCCTGTTACTTCTTTAAACCTGCAAGTAACTATAATTACTTTTAAACTGAATAAATAGCAATATACAAATTACATTACTAATAATTACTGAAGAATGTGAACATAGTATTACTTAAAAATGTCAGAATATTTCTGTATTTCTTTTGAGCCGCCGTTTGCTATAACTGGTATCGAAAGCTTGCTGGAAATTTCTTTTAAAACTTCGTTGCGGTTTGCGTGCTGCGGTCTTTCGTTAACGGTGCGACCGTGAACTGCTATGGCTGATATACCAGTCGATGCCAAAATCTCGCAAAGTTCTAAAGTTTTATCCAGATCTGGCAATACTCGAATTTTACACGTTACAGGAATACTTAAATTATCGACTAATGTTTTCAGAATGTTTGTCGCCGTTTCTGGATTTTGTAGAAGAGCAGCCCCCATTTTCCCTAGCATAGAAAACAGTTTCGGACATCCCATATTGAGGTCTATTCCAGCAACATCTTGTTCCACCATTTTAGCAACTTCTAGAGCTCTCGTCGCATCGCAAGTACCGATTTGTAAAACCACTTTATCTCGCTCTCTGAGACACGTTCGAAAAGTGACGGTACCATCTGTTTTGTCTATGTAGTCGACTGTTCCCAAAACATCTAAAAGTGAGTTGAAAAACTAGTTTAGCTTCTTGTGATATTATAGTATTCATAAGCGAAATTTCTTACCATTTACTCGACGAAACGATCGAAGCAACTTCCAGTCTATGAGTTCCTCTGTGTATACTATATCGGCACCATAATCGAGCGCAAGAAGGCGCATAGGAAGCGTGCCGATGCGCACCATAGGAGCTAATATAAGCTTATTCTCGTAATCCAAACGCTCTCGTTTAGAACTTATCGTTACTTTCTCGTCCATTATATTGTCACTGCGTTATATTTTGCTTTCTACAAATACGAGCAACGTAACACAGGGAAAATATAACCTATCGGCAGAAAATTAACTGCGCATAATTATTCTTTGTCACGAACTCTCAATTTTACATGATAATTATAAAAAATATTTATGTCTCGGAACATTGGAAGTTGATTCACCAGCTTCATATTTACACATCTCTTTTCATAATACCGTGACAAGTGCCATTTGCTGCCATTACACATTGTTACACATGTCCGGTCGTTTTCGTATCATTTTATCCAGATGGCACTTTATTATGTTCGCCATCCGCGAGTTGTCTGTCTGACACAACGCGAGTTTCTATTCTATGATCGTATAATCTTGGAACAATTTCAAATTTGAACGCTAAAATCGATCAACTGTCAAATGATACGTTGCGGGTAATATGGTATTGGTACGATCCTCCCTTTGTTTCATCGATTTAGCGATTGAAAAATCGCTCAGGATTCCCTGTTCGCGCACGTTATATCCCGTTGAGTGATTTTTTCGTTTCGAAATCGGACGTTAAATGAAGCGTTCGACAATGTTTACACCGTCCAAGCCCTCCGAGACGAATTTCATGGATATTACGTTGTTAAACACTCCTCAACCGCAGGCAACTTCGACCATTCAAAGGAAAAGCACGTGAGTTCTCTCTTACAAGACAGATCCATGAAACTTTCAGTTTCATAGAAACGTAGCAAGTTTCTTGTAGTAGCAAAACCTAGATATGTATTCACTCTTTCATAAGAATTAAGATTCTCAATTTTTGGGGGACCCATTGCTATTTACCTCTTTGGCCCAAAGCAATTTTATCAAGTTATTTCATCTGCAGTAAGGGATTGAATTTATGTGGAACATCAATCGTATAACAAAACCTTAAACATTTCTTTTGCCAGATTAGAAAGTAAGTATCTTGAAAAGGATGTGGATGAAGTTATACATAAGCATTCTGCGATACGCAAGAGCAATGAAACCCAAAAGTCAGATGTTTCCTCTCTTGGTATACTTGATAATTTATCTTCCTGTGAGTTGTGCTTTTTGTTTTCGATATATATCTTCTACTCTACTTATACTTTAGTTGACTGTATGTTTTTATAGTTTTAGCTGAAGTGGGCGAAATTGGGGACACAGAGAGTCAAAATGAAAATAAGTTTGATACAGAACGTGAGCTTGCTAGAAAACTACTTCAGAGATGCAGTGACTTGAAAAGTACTTCTCCGGTATATGGTAAGATTTTTTATTCCCTTACTATGTGTTTCTAGCTGTTTAAAAACCAAGTTCACAATTTACTGTTCTTACAGATACAAACAAAGAGAATAATGCAAATATTCAAAATCTGTCTGATAGCGTATTACCTTCCACTCTTGTTGACCAAGGTCAATCCACATGTTCTAATAAAATCAATCCCCAAATTGAAAATCCTTTACATCCAACGGATAGTAACGCGAGTAGCGTAAGTATTATTTTTTTTTAATGAAAATAGTACAATTTAAAGTATATTTTATAGAGTTTTATTTTCAGATCGTCTTTGTGCCAAATGAGATAAGTGCACGTTCATCCGGATTGAGTAAGAATTCAGAAAAACGATTATCATCCCTATCAAATAAAAATGTAAATACAATAACGTTCGACACAACTACTGCTGAATTGATGGCTCAGTTTGACAATGAGGAATTTCAATCTGGTTCTGGAATTGCCAGTCAATTGTTAGCCGATAATATATCCTGGCAGCAGAATTATTCTTATGCTCTTCCAACAACAACTTCTGCTGAAAAGGATTATTTGAATTTATCATGTTTTTCGGGTATCATCGGTGAACTGGATTTATCAATAGAGTGAGTTCTTAATATTATTTACATTTAACGTTACGATCATGATGAAATTGAATTTTAGATCTCGTGCTGGGCGCAAGGTATCCGTGGATGAATATTTTAAACGCAAATGTGGAGCATTCGGGGAATTATCAGATGATGGAATAGAAAGGCCAAGTTTTGGTCTATCTGTAAATAGTCCTAAAAAAACAGGTCGACTCATGCCACTGGTTGATAATACTATAACGACAGAAGATTCTTCGGCTGAGTCGTTCATCGCTAAGGATAAGACTCTACAAAGTAAATCAAACACAACAAAAGATACGGAAGAACCGAGCATTATGAGTTTGACTTGCATCGCTCAAGCGTTACAAGATATTGATAACGATACACCACGAAAATTAGTGGATCAATTTATAATGGCGAAAAAAAAGAAAAAGACTAGCCAGATGCAAGATCAGAATGTAACTACGGATACTTACACGTTATTGGCTTCAAAACGAAAATCTATGCCTGCCACTCCAAGTAGAAAAATTGAGAATTTCGAAAAAGATATGGAATTATTTAATCTTTCATCAAAATTATCTCTAGATAGTAAAATTGTGACTGAACCGATGGGTGTACAATCACTGCATAAAATGATATCCTTCGACTCCAAGGCGTTGCCACATTTTGAAAGTAGCTGTCAAGAGCTTAAAAAAGAAACGAGTAGTGGAAACTTAACGTCTTCGTATAATCAAGGTACAATTTGTCTCGCAAAAGTACCAAATTTAATTGGCTTCAATTGGCTCAAAAATGATCATTATTTTTAGATTATAAGTCGTTGGAAGTTCCTCAATTACTTCATTTGCATTATAATCAAGAAAAAATACCTTCACCTAGTACTTCGAAAGTTAATGTAAAACATAATCAAGAGAAAAAGTTCGTTAATTTAGAAAACGAAGATGTAGGAAAAAATGATAAAATAAAACAGGAAAATGTTTCTTATAAAGACAAATCCGGAACTTTTATACAGGATCTTTCGAATTTACAACGATCTGAATCTCAATCGAGTAGTATGCTTTTGGAATATAATAAGTGTAGTCGTACGTACACATTTTTACTCTTTCGTTGGTAGTAATTGTTTATTTTTTGTAGATGTTGTGATAGGTAAAAGCACGGAGGAACTATGCAATTGTATCGTTGGTATGTCAAGAGAGACCAATATCGAACTTTTAAATAAAAGCGATAGATGGATCATATGTTCGTTAAGTGTAAATCAAGTTCAAGGAGATAAGCAATATGTTCAACTTACGTTACCGAAAGATGTAATTCTTATTAAACCGAACGCAGAACAACATGCTAAGGTAAAAATAAGGTATAATTTGTATAGGCGTAAAAGACAGAAGTGTAACAGTTTAGTTAGACTTTTCAAAACAATTACAATTCAATTATCGTTCGATTTTATATCCGTTTTAGATGACCGTAACAGTTGTGAGAATGAGTAAACCAATTATAGCAGTTATAAACATAACAGTATCAGACATGGTAACAAGATCTGAATGGATAATGAAACACATAATGTGTTTCAAGCCTGAAGAGCTTAATATAATCGTCTTAAACCCTTCTCAAAAGAGGGAACTCGATTTTCAATGTATCATTGAAAATAGCATAGCAGTTTTACCCATCACGATCGAGAATAAAAACAGCGTCGACGTCTCGATTAAATTCGCTGTACTGCAGGTAACGAGTTCGTACAAATGAATTCACATAATTTAAATACCTTTTCTTATTATTACTTTATTCGATATAGGACGAACCGTTAGTATTTAGTCTCGAAAATTTTGACGAATTACAACGAGTAACGTTGAAACCTCAAGAAACATTTACCACGAATATACAGTGCAAAGGTGTTTGGCAAAAGAACGCAAAAATGCAAGAACTACTTTTGCAACGTTATGACGGCACTTTAATCATTCAGGCAGAAAATGGTCCTGACGATACCATATTGATCAAGGAAATTCCTCTTCTAGTGCAAGTAGGCATTTGCAAGATACAAGTAGTCGATACGGATTTACCTTTGGTCGTTTCCAACAAGCAAAGTAAATCGTTGACTGTTATCAATACTGGAAGTATGTCCGTAACGATCTCTGCTTCGCTTGTACAAGACACGGAGAGTGCAAAAATCACGAAATATTTTTCAATTCGACCTGAAAATTTACTTCTACAACCTAACGAAACTGGTTCTTTCTGCGTTACTTACAACCAACAAAATTCGAATGCTTCCAGAGTGTGAGTAAATGACTCGCTAATGATTTATTCCGTTACATTCCAAGTCCAATTTCAGATAAATTTATTCGTATTATATTAATACGTTCATAGGCATGGCCAGATTCAATTAATGGTTGGCAATAATGTAAATTACCATCCTATAATCGGAGAATCGACCTCTTACACGGAAGCAGAAAATGAGAATTTCGTTCGTTGCGAAACACCTCAGTACCTATCGTCCATTAGCTCACCATCATCTCCGAATAGCGTAACCTCGACCAAGTAAGTTTATCTGGTATTTGGTAGAAGTTTTCTTTTTTAAGTTAAAATTATGAATATTGGAATTAAATAGATCTGGAGCATCTGGAAGAAATTCACCTATCAGCTCGGTATCGGGTTCGACCGTTGCTGGTGATAAAATTCCTATAAGAACCACCCACGCAGCCCTGGTGTGGAACAGCGTGAAGACGGGAAAATCAGATATTAAAGAATTTACTATTCGCAACACGAGCAACAACAAGATTAAGATCCAAGCTGTCATATCGGATAATGATAAGAGTTTCCGGGTAATTTATGAAAGTAATTGTAGAACTAAGTAAAATAATAATCGTACGTAAAAATCTTTTCAGTTCCTTCGCGAACGACAAACTGTTGGCACGTCTATGGTATTAGTTTTACAAGGTTCGGAAAGTAGGACGCTGTCCGTTGTATTTGGTCCTCATCGTTTAGGCGCGGCTACTGGTAAAATAATATTTAGACACTACGAGCCTAGGAGGAACGATAACGAATCACGCCCTTCGAAAGCGGTAAGAGAATAAAGCTATTCGCTCGATAAATTTGTTCAAATCGATAGATCCTCTAATCAGTTTTTAACGTGTCATTTTCAGTTATTCTTGTACGGGTACGGTGGCTATAGCAGGGTCGAATTTTTCGAAGCGTTCAAGGACACAAGTGGAAAAATGTGGCTATCGCTTGGTTCTTTAGATTCTGGAGGTTCCTTGAGCTCGAAGATCAAATTGCAAAACACCGGAGACCTGTGTTCATACGTCAAAATAAAATTAACTCCGAAAGGTTTCTTTCTTTACTCTTTTTCTTTGTTTTTTTTTTGAAAAGAGAATTATTATTTATAAATACTGGTACAATATAACTTAAATATATTCAATTTTTCTATTTTTGAATAATTTCAGCTGTGTATCCTACCATGGTTTCGAGTTGGCAAGTGAATCCGACCGAATTATTGTTGAACCCGAAAGAAACTCAATGGGTGACCTTGGAATTTCATCCACGAAAAGAGGATTTAGCATTGTTGCAACGCTCAGATGTGTCTCACGTGGGAACAGTATTAATTACTCACGGAGACGAACCCTCGCGTTGGCGAATTCGTAGGTAAGTTGTTATCGAATATAAAAACAATCGTTAATTGTTAATGGAGGATTGTAACCACAGACTGTACAATAAAATGAAAGAAATCGGTGAATTGAGCGGAAATGAAAACGAAGCATTTAGAAATATACTTCACCCGATATGCAAAGCTTTCCCTGGGGAGCAATTAACGTCGGACATAAACGCTATTCGTGATTCAGTGGTAAACGATCGTGAATTTATTAATTAATATTTACTAATTACTATCTGTTTCATGTTTACATTATTAATTAATTTATGTATTTCGAAGCAAAACCTTGGAGACCTCTGCAGAGGAATTAGTCAACATGAAATTTTGCTAACAATGGAAGTGTCTCCGGATGAAACCTTGTCCATTCTGCAAGACAATGCAGACGAATCGCAAATGTTTTATTCACTTTGTAGCGACAATAGCCATGTATACGAAGCACATGGCGAAAGCTTTTTACCGAATGAGTAAGTCTTGTTAGTGTCTCGATTAATGAACAATTTTATGAACATTTATATTCTAATTAAAAACTTTTCAGTACGCTCATGGGGAACAGAATGTTTCAACATGATGCGAATACCAATAACGTTACGGTCAGTCCATCCACTATAATTTTAACCCCACCGATAAGGACAGAAGCAATCGTGACAATACGAAGCTCTTGTACTATAGCACAGCCATTTGAAACTTCTCTGTCAAATACAGAGTACTTGAGCGTTCTTCCCACCGAGGGTATGATACCCACAAGAAGAGACTTTCAATTAAAAATACAATGCAAACGAAAGGTCGAACGTAGTATCAATGCAGTACTCGAAATTTATACAGAGAATAGCAAGGTGGATGTACAGATAAAAGTTAATGTTAAACGAATGTAAATTTAAATGTTAGAGTTAGTACTTTTATTTGAATATTTATTACTAAGGATACGCTGTAGTTTTGCATTTTTATACAGGTAATTTTGTATTATTAATAAAATAATTTTCAATAAATACATTTTTAATTGTTAATAAATTTATTTTGTTTGAAATATTGTTCTAGAATTACAGGAGCAGAATTTATTTTAAATTCAGCATTGTAATTTGCTTTAAGACTTTGTATTATTCTGACCATATTCTTTACATCATCTATGCCTGAGTGTAGTTTTCCCTGTGGTTCAAGTTTGAGATAATTTAACATGTTAGTCATTGTTCGTGGATAATAATTTGTCACATCGCAAAAACTGTTTTTTAAATTTATCCACTTGCCAAAATATTCTGGTATAGTTATGTTCTCCAACTTACAATGTTCTGGCAGCATCATTTTCAGGTCCCAGTCACCGCATGTAAGGAAAGCGCTTTGATTGTCGTCTTTAAAGTATTTATTTTCTTCCAACCAGTTACAAAACTTGTTGAACACTTCTGGGAAGTGAGGTTCGTTATCTACCATGTCTTGTATGATTCCGGTTAGTTTTATGCAATATGGGGTAAGTATCGGATGAGCTCTCGGCTTGACATATTGATGAAATATGTTCTCTATTTCCCAGCTTTTCGTAGACACCGCTGCACAAGGGAATTCGATGATTTCCTGTGGCTCCAACTTCTCCAACTCTTTGCACGTAGCTTCGAAGTCTAGCACGAGCAAGTAATCAAAAGTACTTTTAAATTCCTTGGTTTTCCTATTAAGAGATCTGGGATATTTTTTAAACATTCGATAAGCCATGATTAGTTAATCGTAAATAAATCGTCGAATCGGAAAGGAATGCTCCAAGTTTTCTATGTATTTCAATTGCACTCGAACTAGGTTAGGTTAAGAAAGTATTCACTACATTGGAGATACCAACAGACTTGTACTGTATTTTAAATTGTAATTTTTGACGAAGAATTAAAATATCGTTATTTCATTCTACAAATGATTATTCTTCAGGCTAAAGATTCTGCAACATGCTGCAACCGCCTTTACAAATATCGTCAAAGCAGACTCAATGCAAGTACGCAACGAATGGTACGCACGTGGGTTTCGATACTTCGATCAAAGATAAAAAAGACATTCTAATCATAATAAATAATAGTAATAATTTAAATAATTAAAAATTCATAACCAGACCGAGTTTTTTCACTCGATTAAGTAAAGTATCGCCCCTTTTTATCATGTTTTGGTAAGTAAGTCCGCGATCGCAAGTAGCGTCAGGTGCTCGATTTCTGTCGCATCCGATGGCGCTGACGGTAACGATCGTTTTAGCGACGTTATCAATTTTGCAATGCAACCTGCCGTTCGCGACAAATCGTGCCACCTCTTGTTCTATGTATTCCTCTGTCACGCCGAATTCTGTCGCCATTCTATCCAAGTTAATCGTCCTGTACGCTTGTAATAATTGCGAGTACGCCCTCAGTCGCATTTCTCTAACGTAGTAACGATAATGGCAATGCAGCAAAGGATTAGCCTTGAGTTCAGACTCGATCCAAGCAAGATTTTTCAAGAACTGTTTGTAACGACAATCGTAAAGGGAGCAAAAGTATTCTTTGTATCCAAGAGACTCCGTAAGCAGAGCCTGTTGCAGCAGTCCGTTATTGTTGAATCGATCGTCGAAGTCAGATCGCGACAACGACATCATTCCTGACAATATCGTGTATTCAACGACTTCTTTGAACGGCAACAGTTCGTACGATTCGAAGGTGGGTATGCAGTCCAATAAAAGCAAAGTGGCACGTGCGAAATTTCGTGTCGCGAGACAGTAAACGGCTTCGTATACTTTTAGTTTATTGCGACAGCACCAGTTGCTGCCCGATACGCACGATCCCTCCATCAGGCTCGTTATATCCTCTATTATTTTCCCCATTGAACGAAAATTGTACCTAAGGTACGATATTCTAAACAATCCGAAAGCAGCCTCGATCCTCGTGCTGGACGAGTTTGTCTCGTCTTCGTAGATCATGCTCGCGACGTCCGTGGCACGATCGAGATCGCCGATTTCGCAGAAAAATTCCATCTTTTCCCGCCAATTTCTCTTTACCGGGTCTTCGACATTAGAAGCATCAGGGGACTCTAGTTTCTGCCATGTAACCTCGTTCGCGAGCCTCATTGTCTCGAGCAGATCTTCGTCGATGATCCAATCGAACTTTCTACAAGCTACTTCGTAATATTTCGACATATTTTTCCGTGTTATTATGGCGAGGAATTCGTTTCTTAAATTCTCGTCACCTCGGTACTCGGCTAAGGTTAGCTTGAACCATGGTTTTGTGAGTAGCATGTAATCGGAGGTTTTGTTAGATGTTTCTGAATTGTTCATGATATCCTTTTTAATGTTGCTAAATATAGCCCGATAATTTGCGACTTTTAAGCAGGGTATGCAGACATTTCATTTTAATTATTGTCTGGGGTTTCTTATTTTTTTTATCGAGTTTTGATTTTAACCGATTTGATTTTAACTTCATTCAAACTTCGTCGCTGTTATTTGTTTATGTAATGTGGAAAATAATTTGTTTGTGTATGTAAAAAATAAGAATAATCATTGCTTCGTTCCAAGCTGTGATACCAGACTCTGCTTCCAATCTCGCATGCGCGTCGAAAAAAGATGCAGTACTGTAGTTACAGGAAAAGATCTATGGTCTTGTTTCATGTTTCTTTTATTTTATAAGAGTAATCTGTTTTACATTGATTATTGTACTTATCGATCCCATCTTGCTTGCTACAATGTATCAGTTTTACACACATGTCTTTGTTCATATCATTTGTTATATTTCTATTTTTCTTTGGGGCGACTAAGAGATACGTTACTGACGTTAAAGACAGTACGCATGAACGATTGGGAGCAGCGTCTGGTGTCACACGTTTTTCTACCAATCGTAGTGTTCGAATCGAAAGAAAATTCCCGCGCTTTCGACGCCATCTTTACCGGCGTAAAATAAGCGCCAAGACGCACTAATGTTAACCTCGCGTCACGTTGAAGCAGTGTTCGATAAAGATTTGATTTATAAACCATGACAGCGAAAGTTGGAGCGTTCCAGAACTTACCATGGTAAGGAATTATTGTTCGTTTGTTATTATCTTACAATTATTCGTAGAAATTCATGAATGTCATTCAATTTTCTAGGGTTGAAAAGTATCGTCCCAAAAAGTTGGACGATCTTATATCTCACGAGGAAATCATCAGAACTAGTGAGTATTTTTGATCGATTTATTAGTTTTACGAAGGAATAGAATCATTTGGTACTTATTAAATAACTATTTTTCGTTACAGTAAATAAATTTATCGATGAAAACCAACTTCCACATCTGTTACTTTATGGTCCTCCTGGAACAGGAAAGACTAGTACGATTCTTGCTTGCGCTCGTAAATTATACACACCGGCTCAGTTCAACTCGATGGTATGTTTTTCCTTTTATATTGGTGTTAGTATATATAAATCTTGCCTGTACATATATTCTTATATCGATCCATAGGTCCTGGAAATGAATGCTTCGGATGACAGAGGTATCGGCATTGTCAGAGGACAGATTCTTAGTTTTGCGAGTACAGGTACTATGTACAGATCTGGTTTTAAATTGATCATCCTCGATGAAGCTGATGCTATGACAAACGACGCACAGAATGCTCTCAGAAGAAGTAAGTGTTTGTTATCGTGATAATGTAAATCTAAAGAGTGTACTCAGCTAAAAGATTATGTTTCAGTCATCGAGAAGTACACGGATAATGTAAGGTTTTGTATTCTGTGCAACTACCTTAGTAAAATTATCCCAGCTCTTCAGTCTCGGTGCACTAAATTTAGATTTGGTCCGTTAACAGAAAGTCAAATTTTGCCAAGATTAGACGACATTATCAAAGAAGAAAAGTAAGTCTATCGTTTTCACATAAATATTTATGGATGCTAACGAAACTAACATTTAATAAACGCGAATGCTGAAGTTTAAATGTCACAGAAGATGGAAAGAAAGCGTTGATAACGCTAAGCGGGGGAGATATGAGAAAAGTTTTAAATGTTCTTCAAAGTACATGGCTTGCCTTTAATGCAGTTACAGAAGATAATGTTTATTCCTGTGTTGGACACCCTCGTCCCATTGACATCAAGAACATTGTGAATTGGTTACTGAACGAGTCCTATGAATTATGTTATTGCAGTATCCTTCTTTTACAAATACCAGTTAATGCTTTTGAAGTTATATATTCCTTAATATATCGTTACATAGAAATACAAGACATAAAACTGAAGAAAGGACTCGCGTTGCAAGACATATTAACGGAACTCCATTTGTTTGTAAATAAAAGTATGTAATTCATTTACAAAGATAGTTAAAATTCTTATCAAGTTTTTGTAAAACAATGGACGATACTCAGTTATTTCGTTTCAGTTGACTTTCCAGAGTCGATACTCATCGATCTAGTGATTAAACTGGCAGAAATCGAAAAGAGAGTGGCCATCGGTTGCAGCGAATCGGTACAATTGAACGCGCTCGTTTCAGCGTTTCAAAATGCACGCGATATCGAAACCTAGCAGCAGCTCGAGCTGTGTTCGCGTTAAGGTAATTTCTCAATATAAAAGTACTATATTTCGTTAGAAACGGTACGAGATTAAAAGCAACGTAAGAAAACTAATCTACCGTTTGTGATCGTACCTGTGTAATAAATAAAAGGTCGATATTTGTACAAAGAAATAGCCAACACGCAACAATCCCCACGCCCAAGTTATCCATCTCCATTTTTTTGTTTTTTCCTTTTTTTTTTGTAATAAATTACGTTCTTTCGTGAGCCGTATCATGGTGACGAATCTCTAAAACTAAGTTGTCAAAGTCTAGGTCACAAATCAGTCGAGTCACCATGAACTCCCGCGGTCGTAAATTCTCATCCAGTTCCGCGTCCCGCTTAATCGCGATCATTCTACCACGCGTGCACGAGAGTTATGGAATACTCATCTCCGAAATGATAAGTTTTCTCGTGGTGTATGTGTATTCGGAGCAATCACCCTGTTCGTACTCGATCGTACGAGTGGAACAGCGTCTGACAGTGGTCCGACAAATACCGCCTGATCAGCACGCGATCGCTCGTGCATCGCGTCGACGAAAACATATCCGCCGTCCAAACATGCGATGCCACTATTTTCTGTTACAGCGATGTTCATCGGGTGTGCTCTGACAATTGGTTCACGGTATTCCGAAGATTGCATCGTGTACTCGAAAAGAGACATAACTCGCAAAAAGTAAGCTTTCCAGGATAGAGGAAAAATGATTTATTAAACGAATAATGTTGTCACAATGAATGGATTGTAATAAAGGATAATTGTTCTCGATTTTTTTCTGCGTCTTTAGGAGCCAAATGGGGAGCTTACCCAAACCTCGAATATTGTGCGGGGGATACGGTCTTGTGAATCGATCGAAGCTCCATCGATCCCAAGCGTGATTTACTCTCAGACTAATGTAAAGAGGGAGACACGTACGTCCCTCGACCCTCGATAGAATCACTGAACAATAATCAAGACAAGTTACTTCTTTCGTTTCGCGTCACGGTAAAGTCTCTTCACGTTAACTATTGCAATTGTACAGAATAATGGATAATATGTAGCGTAACGGATAAAGGATTCACGTGTATATTTTTTCTGCAAAACTCTAGTCCTTTTGGAACGCCGTTGAGTTATCCGATGATACATCCGATCCCAGCAAGTGGAATGACCCAACTTTAGCCCGACACGCCATTAGCTTCCTCTCCTTTTCTCTCACTCGTCGCCGCGCTATCTCTGCCACTTTACGAACACTACAAACTCCTCACGGTTCGTATGTAATTCTCATTTCCTTTATGTTACCTATTTTTGCCACCTAGCATACTCGAGTGACGTCTGAATAAGTAAAGACCCATCACACTCTTGAAAACGAGCATTTATTAATGTCTTCTCGACTCGAGTTATTCTCAGAATCCGCGAATAACAATTTTAATACCCAACACGGAGCTTTAATTCTAAACAAAATTTTGATACCTTTCTTTTTCGGTAACTATAATTACATTTGATTTCAGAAAGATTTTTCATTTCAAAGCTCGGGAGGCATTTATACATATTTTTAATTCGTCTAATTTACCGTATATTTGCGGCATTGTCGAGGAACAGAAAAATTGGATTCCTCGTAATTTCTGTCCCATACGGTCGCGTCCCCTCGTTACGAGTCGTTCGCATGTAAAAGCGCCGAAATATTTTAACGGGAACTTTTATACCGGGCATAAGCCAACCGACCGATCAATTTATCGACGAGCCTGGAAAAACAAGCGGGCTACAAATGTAACGAGTCCACAATAGGCGATGTAAATTTCGGGAGGAATAAAAAAATCGATCCTGGACGAATCGTCCGTTTCGTATTAGGTCAGCGGTGCTTAAACCTCTTGAGCTCGCTTTGGAACAGTGATTGCGCATGAATGACGCGCGTATCAATTCTGTTACGCGATAAATAGACTCGGATGTTCGTGCGTGAAAGCCGTATATCATTTATGCGAACGGTATGTGTGTGAAGAATATGCACGTTTATAGGAAAAATATGCAAAAGTTATAAGTAGGTAATATTTTTAGTATAGAACGATATATTAAGGTAACGATAATGTGTACTATTAATATTGTTAGCGCACGAAGGTGACGAGGATACTGTTTTCCTTTCGTCGCCCGTTAATTTCTAATTATGCGACACAGAGCACGCTAATATTTATTTTATTTGATCCGTAGGGTCGGCGTTTTGGCCATGAATTGATAATTAAATAACACTCATCCTGGATATCAAACGAAACTTTCGGGTTAATAAGAACTTCCTGGGCGCGCACGAGCGCTACCACCGCCAGCACGTCGATTCTCCGAGTTATTTCAGCTTGAAAACTTGGCGCAGACGTGCCCTTAACTTTCCGCTTCGAAATAACTAATTCAATTAGTATATCAGCGCCGCTAGACCCGGGTTAACTACATCTTTGCCGGTGTATCTAATCGTAGCGCGAACGGCAACTCCGACATTGCTAATCTCCTCTCGAAACCCACTCCCGCGGAATCGACTGTTCGCTGCCCGATTCCTTTCCGTGTAATTCGAGAACCGTTCTCCTCCCCTTGGGAGTAATCATCGCGCTGTTTGTTTTACTACTTCACGCGAGATTAATTGGGATCGTCCGCGAACCGTCTGACACGCACTTTCGCGAAACTTGGCGAGCTCGCGTCCCGAACTTGGTTGCGAACACAATACTTAGAGAACACGAGCAACGTTTAGCTAAAAATTGTTGACCCTTGCCACGGGGAGCCTAGGTCACTCGACACGTTCGCACGTGAATTTTCATTCTTCGGTTTAAGAATTTAAGCAGTTTTTCCTTGCGTCCTAATCTGTGACCAAAATTGCAAAAAGACCAGTTGCAATAAAATTCCGCACGCCTGAACGCGCGTTGGCAACACGCACGAATAAATATTAGTCTAGCAAGTTTCGGTTTGAATGTTGTGCATCAAGGTTTTAAGCTTTCCATTAGTGGGAATGTATTAACATTGAAAACATATGCATACTGCACGCGGAATATTTTACGCAGGATCGATATAATAATTTTAATATTTTATTCCGCATAAGTGCGTATCTTTTGCAGTCGCGTGCCATATGTTTTTCACGTTCTCGTTCACTATACATGTATGTTAAAATACGCAGACCGGCGATACCGTAAATAATGTAAAAGCGCGTTTTGATGAATATTTAACGTTCGATCGCAACAAGTTATCGGTCATTGATCGAGCGTTTTCAGTTCTCGAACTACGTGATTTTACTACGCTGCTAATTGCTAAACAAACGTATCGTCCGGAACGAATGGAAAATGCAGTTTTGTCGTTCGAATGATTTTAGAGGGGATATAACTTTAGGGGACCCTTAGCTGATGCATCGTATCGATCTTGGACACAATTCGTCATCGCAGGTCGCATCTGCGTTAATTTTAAACCCATCTTCTCGATACGACTGTAATGCGTTTCCGCTGCGAATCTATTTTTCATGGAGAGTAACGATTCGTTTCGAAAATAGATTTCGTTTGTTACGCTGGAGTAACGAGGCAGCTATTTCCATTCGCTCAACCTTTTGAACGTCACTCAGCCCACACGTAACCCATTTACACATTCTGTTTACTTTTCCAAGTGACCCGCGATCGCGATATGGCTGACGTTAATATGTTGTTCGACTTTGAATCGTTCCCCTATTTATTTTTCGTAGTCGTTGCTCCTAGGCGTCGAGGGATTGTTTTGAAATCGTATTTCGTTTCGATTAATAGAACTTGGACCGAGGAAAATCTAGGGTACGTATAAAGAATAAATAAGTAAATGTATAAATGTCGAACGAAAACTACAGGACGCTTCTCTTCACCTAATGTTTACGGTACTTATGATTACAGGAACGAAGATCAGTCGACAAGTGGAACGTGGACAGTGTGGTCAGACATACGAATTAACGAGAAACAGGATCAAACTGCAAACGAAAATTTCCGCTAATCCTCGTATTTGAATTACTATGAATTTTTCCGTAGAAGGAGAATTAAACGCGCCGATACGTACGTGCCACGTTGAAATACGTATAACGTAACAACTTGTGCCGCGTTCACGTATCTATGAATCCATAACTCGAGGACTTGGCGTATTCAAGTTGACCTATTTACCACATTTCATTTGCACATAGTTAAAAGCGCGCAACTACGCTAAATAAAATTACTACGACTGTAACGTTGGCTCTGCGGCGGACAGGTTTCCAACCGAACGGCGGCAGGCGGAACGTTTTAAAACACAACGTGAAAAGATTTAGCCCGGTTCGAGATCGATCGACGCCGGGGCGCCCGGCAAAACGCTTCGTCACAAAAATTGAGCATCGCGACGAACGTTTGTATTCATCTATTCAACGTTTATTGTACGTTACAGGAACGAAGAAAAATGTCATCGGTTTTGTAAGGTAAATTTTCGACTGACTCCGACGCCACCTGGTCGATCGGCGTGCCAGCCGACTGTGTCGAAAACGATACATCACTTAACAAGACCAGCCAGAGCTGTACGCGAGCTCGACGCGGGATACGTCGACGGCCAGGAACAAGTACCTGACGGCCAGGACGCATGTTTTCAAATTATGTAAAGAAGAGATTTTATGTAGAGAAGAAACGGTGAAAGAAGAGGGAAGAGTAATTATTAAAAAGAAACCTGCGTTTGGTGTTGTCTGAAATATTAATTTCAAGGGCCTCCTTTTGATCCGGACCCCAGGTAGACATCTCTATGCGATAAGTCCGCTTCAACTGCGCTGCGAGCGATACATGATTTAACGAGAGCAGACAAAGCGTGTCGCGAGATTCGTCGACGGCTAGAAGCACAAAGGCGTCGAATATCGCGGACGAGTCGCGCGCAGGGCGAGAACGGCTCACGCTCGATTAGCCGTGTCTCGCTTTTCGATTAGAGATTGAAACGTTGCCGCGAGAAGAATCGACGGGATTTATGACCGATCGAAGTCCCGCGGAGCTCTCCCGCTCTTCTTTGTATCGGCATCGGTGAGCTGGGAAATGTACTTTCCTCGAGTGTCTAGAAACTTGTACATCGGAAGCCCTTGGAACTTGGGATTCTTGGAATAACATGGACTTTGGTTTGGAGTTCCCTGGAGTATCGGGGAATGGACGTGCGATAAGTAGCAGTTGGTGTTAGAGTAGTAATAATAATAGCGCGCCTTTATCGCGTCAAGATTCCGTGCAGGGCAACCTGTGAAATACGAGTAATCATCTGGCACTAATTATCGAATGAAATTGAACCTTTGATAAGTAGGAGGGACAGCGAAACATTCGAACGGGTAGCGATAACGATAATTATACTGTGGATGTTTATGCATTTACGGCAAATAGAAATGTAGGAAAATGTACGAGAATTCTTTGTTCTTTATTTGCGTAAACATTCGTAGCCTAACGACAGTAATAATAGTTTCTCCCTCGTTGTTTTTTCTCGAGATTCGACAATTAAAATGCGACAAGCGCAGCGTTACGCTCTTCGCGGACATCTGTGTTCGACTCTCTTTAAAAAGCGACTTGCAGCAGCAACAGAGGGACTAAATTATCGCCGTGGAACAAGTGCATGACACGGCATCCAGAGCGTGAAAGGATTTTTAAAGTCACTCGAGGCACTCGACGTAAATCCCAAAGCTCCGTTAGCAACACCGGCAACATGATTGTAATGCTCATTAAAATTCAGGGCCGCGCCGAAAATAGCAGCAAGAACCCCCGAGCAACGCTAACGGAACCGGGATGCCTTTTGTCGTTGGGAAGGGATCGTCGCGGACCGTCGGGTCCCCGTTTTGATCGAACTTTGTCTGTTGGATTAATTTAAGAAGTGCGTCGTATCTTCGACTTCGTTATATTACGCTCTTTCGTGATCGAATTGTACGAATTATTGAAAAAGGTTTCGGATAAAAGTAGACGAGAGCAGTCAAATTTGATACAGAGTGAGTGTGAAAAGGCTAAAAATTAGAGAAGCATAACGAGTGCGAAAGTAGAACTAATACGTGAATTACGGCAGGATGAATGCGAGGGTCCAGAAATGTTTGCGCAGGGAGTTTGGCGGAAATCTGAAGGGTCCAGTTTTTTGGGATTCTGGCCTACGGCGGGACGTTAAGTGGCGTGTTTCGCGCGAATATTTCTTGCCCGATTACCTGCCGGGTGGTATCGATTCCTCCACTTCCGGTCGGACGTGGCCGTAGCAGCATTCCCCCGGTGCTTAGAAATTGATGCGCGTCCGAAAAAAGCCGTGATGGATGCTCGACC